CCTAAACCCTAAACCCAAACAAAACAAAAACACAGCAAAGCAACCATTATTCACCTGCGACTACCCATCTGCCCTGAAAGTAGTTAGTATTATTAGGGGTACCCCTTAAAGGGTACCCCTTCTGAACCCTACTTTCGGCTTTTTTAAAAGGGACCTTATTGAGAGGGTCTATATCCCCAAGGGTCCCCCTAATCCCAGCTCCCTGAAAGAGTGCTGAAGCCTGTCCAGAAGCCTTGCAGCAGGTGCCAGGAATGGCACGGATGGACTTGCAAATCTTCAACGACCCTTGTCTGCTCAGGCCTGACAGGTTCAAGGAGTCCCTAAACCCTATAAACCCTATAAACCCTAAACCCTAAACTCTAAACCCTAAGCCCTAAACCCTAAACCCTAAACCCTAAACCCTAAACCCTAAACCCTAAACCCCAACTCCACCATCCCCGCCTTTCCCATAGAAAGAAGGGTCTGCAAAGCAAGAAGGACGCAAGAGGCCCAGGAGCCTTCGGAGTTCTCGGCATTTACCCGAGATCCACGGAGGTTCTTAGGGTTTAGGGTTTAGGGTTTAGGGTTTAGGATTTGGGGTTTAGGGTTCAGGGTTTAGGGTTTAGGGTTCATTGTTTAGGTTTTAGGGGTTGGGTTTTTTTGTTTTAGGTTTCGGATTTAGGCTTGAGGGTTTAGGGGTGTGGAGTCTTTTTGTTTAGGGTTTAGGGTTCAGGCTTGAGGGTTTAGGGCAGGGTGGTGTCCTAAGCTGGTGAGCAAAGCAGATTTCGTTTCAATTTCTCAAGCCCCAAACCCTAAACCCCTAGACGCTAAACTCCGAACCCTCAACAACCCTAAACCCTAAAACCGTGGTGTTCCCTAACTGATTCAAGCAGGTGGAAATGAGGTGACAACAAAATCCTAAACCCTAAACCCTAAACCCTAAACCCTAAACCCTAAAACTCGAAATTTTGGGTTGACAAGCCCTAAGCCCGGAACCCTACGGCCCCATGTGCTCATGATCCCCTGACTGAAATCCTGAAGCCCTATAAGGCCTACTTGGAAGCTCTTTTGTTAGGGTTTAGGGTTTAGGGTTTAGGGTTTAGGGTTTAGGGTTTAGGGTTCCTGGGATTATGTCAGAGGACTTCGTGCAAACTGACAGGGAAAACGAAGTAGACATACAAGTCCAAAGGTCCTCCAGGCACGCCTATCTCTGAAGCCAGTACCATGGGACATGAAGCCACGAACCCCTGCAAAGCCCAGGACCACTCCATCACGGAAGCCTTCAAGGAACCGCGCCCAGCATACAAGCTTTAAATGGCGGGCCTGAGTGTGGAATTAGGGTGTTGTGAGGTTCATTAAGATTCAGACCCTAAGCGCTAAGGGTTTGGGGTTTGGGGTTTACCCATAGCCCCCACAGTAGTTCCTTCTTGTGGCTTGTATGTAGGATCCTGCCAGGTAATCTCAAAAAGGAACTACTATGGGGCCTATGGGTAGAGCCGTAAAAACTAAACTTCAGACCATAAGCCCTAACCCTAAACCCTAAACCCTAAACCCTAAACCCTAAACCCTAAAAACCCTAAACCCTAACTAAGGGTTTGGGTTAAGGGTTTAGGGCCCTAAACCCTAAATGCAACACTACGCCCCCAAAGAACTTTCTTGCTTGAGCGTTGAAGCATGGGGCTGCCGGCTCGAGGCTTTCTGGCAAAATGGGGTGTAGGGGTTCAGCGGGGTTCGGGGTTCAGGTTTTAGGGTTCAGGGGTTCAGGGGTTCAGGGTTTAGGGTTTAGGGTTTCGGGGTTCAGGTTTTGGGGNNGTTTAGGGTTTGGGGTTTAGCGGCTTAGGCTTAGGAGAAGTGCTTCAAGTTTTGGCGGTCAGGGTCCAGGGATACTGTTGAAGCTGCATGGTCAGGCTGAGAATGTATGCATAGCTTCTGGAAATATTGTTACTCTGATTCCCTTAAACCCTAAACCCTAAA